AACTTAGCGGTCAGAAAGAAGCTCTTTAAAAAGCCGGTATCCAGATGTGACCAAAACTTATCGAGATTAGCGTATATGATCGTCTACATTACAACCATACGTAATTAATATGTTTGAATTGAAAACGCATTTCAGAATTCCGGGTGACGTTTCATGAGATAGGGAATCTATTGTACCTACCTATAGTCAGTCTCTCGTTCAGTTTATCTGTCGCTGGCAGATGCCCGAAGTTTACGCAAGGACTACATTTAGAAATTGTTTTTTTTCTCGTTTAGCCACCTTACTCATAAAAGTGTAGCCGACTATTATAATTGCACAAACAATTGTGTGTGTCCAATGTGAGCCGGTTTCGACGAAGCCCATTTAACAGCTTTTATTTGCAGCGAAAAAAAATGATTTTATGCTTGATTTTGCCCTTCACAGTTTGGTTTTCCTGCAAAACTTCCATGCTGAGTGCGCAGACCGCAGCATCGATTATGGAAGTGAAAGCCAAGTGTACGATCTGGCTATAAGACAAGTAGCGAAGCAAAACCCATGGTTTTAGAGACGACAACCCCGGCATGTGGCATCATGTCCGCTTTCAGTCCGACCTCGGATATTTTCGCACGTTCCATTTTTACCTTACCTATGAATACATTTCTCTTCTTCCGCCCATGGGTAGGAACGCAATATGTGACAAAGGGCACTTCAACGTGCAATACGGAACCAGGGGCAATGTAGAGTTTACGGTTGAGGCAAAACGAAAAAGGGAGGACGCTAACGTAACCCTATCCATTATGTTTCATAGAATTGGCGTTTGTTCCAAGGCCGGCTCTGAAGGCTGCCTGCCAGACCAACGTTCCTTGTTCCTAGAAGACAATGCGTGTCCTTACACTTGCTTTCACCTCATCTTCACTAATTTAAGGTCAAATTTTTCTGTTCCATTAGACATATATTTGAAACGTTTCTTGCGTATATGCATATTCTTGTTTAGCACAACGCATCGAAACAGAAGCTTCTGTTCCGTGATATTAAACAGAATAGGCTATTTCTTTGGTAACTGAAGCACTGTTTTTCCGAAAGAAATTCGAACAGAGCATAATGCATCACCAAAGTTACGCCTATAGCCTAAACCGAGGACCCGATTACTGTATATAGGAGTCATCGACCAGCGACGACAAGCTTTGATTATCTTGCATCATGTTGACTTACTGCTGGACGAAGTCAGCGTCCTGGAAACTTGCTGCGATGCTTCCTGCACTGACACGCTGGGCTCCACCTCGCCGCAGAGGCTTCACTGTAGAATGTTAGCAAAATGACACGTATGGATTTGAAAGTGGATACCCTAATAGATTCACACAACGAGACTCTAACTCGAGTTGTATTAGAAGGGGGCCGAGAAATTAGTCTCAGAGAGATTAATCATTTTCTCAGCCTTAAGGCTTCAGAGGCCTTGCGAGACACTGCTGCATGTTTTGAAGAATTTTTTAACGTTGGGGTTGGCGCACCTAGGCTCGCAGTTAACCGTTACTAAATCTACCACTAGCTTCCTCACATGAACGTAATGCATCGTATTGATTAATAATTTTGTTCGATATATGGCCCTGTATGCACGATACTGGGATATGAACGCCCTGCCCAGGCAATAAAGGTGGACCTTAGCTTTGATCATCTAACTCCCAACCCAAAAACTTCCAAAGGTATCCAAGAACAGGTAAAATAACGTTTTTATAAAAAGAGCAACCACGCAAAAACGTTAATTTTTTTACACAAATTACGATCTAGTAACACTGTTATTGGATTGCTCACAGATCAGCGCCACTTAGGATAATGCAGCTTACTTCGAGATCTCTCTACAGAACGTTTTTGCTTACTATCAATGGCTGGCCCCATGAAATGTTCACGGAATTTTGAGACGCGTTTTTGATTGAGAAGCTTGGTCATCATGCTGCATCATCCAGTAATATTTATGGCACGCCAACATGTTGGCTTTTTTAGGCAAGTCTTTTCGATCGCTTGCA